AAAAACAAAACAAAACCCAAAAAGAAGAAAAAATAAAAGAAACTAAGATAATGAAAACCTCACCCGTGCAAATCACGTATCAACCTCAACTGTGGAAGATAACAGGATGATTAGCAAAAATCAATGAAATAATTAACCTTAGTTGGGGTTGTGTATGGTCATATAAGGTGTATTTATACACAATGGATGATATCAAAAGGGTTTAGTATTGAAATTATAAAATGGTAAGAGATCTCAAGAAAGGTAAAATCTTTAATATTATTGAAATGCCATATTTGTCAAAATATTTGATATTACAAAAATGCCCCTAAGTTTTGGGGGGAAAACTTGGCTAGGAGGATTTTACTTTTATATATATATAGATTAATTATAATTACCAAATATTGTGGCAATTACCATAATAATTTTATTAATTATATTATTTATATTAATTATAATATTTGTAATAATCTCTTCCAAAATTTAAATACATTACCATAATAATCACACAAAATAATGAAAGAAAAATTATTAGAATAATTACCTTTAATAAAAATAAGGAAATTATATTAAAAATTAATTATATATTAAGGTAAGTATAATTTATTTCATGCCAATAATATTATACATTAAGTATAAAAATATATATGTATATAAATTACCATGATAATTACACCAAAAAAGGTAACAATATATAATTATTAGGTAATAATATTAATAATTAATTATTATGGTAAGTATAATTTATTAAAGAGGGAATATAATTTAAAAAGTAAAATTATTTATTAGATTACCTAATATAATTGTCTTACTAATTGATTCCATGCTACTATGTATAATTCATATATTTGAAAACTTTTTAAATCGAAATATCTATTAATTGCCTTAATAATTAAAATAATTGTTAGTCAATCAATATTCAATAGTACTAAAAGTATTATTTGAATTTTTATACATAAGATATAATATTATTAAATCGAAATAATTAAAAATAATGTGTCCATATTACAAAAGATTTTATAATAGTAATTTTTATTGCATAATAGAATTTGGCAATTATTAAACATTGTTTATGGTAATTATTGTATGACATTTAATACTAAAATTATTAGGTAGAATTTTTATAATTAAGGTATAATATTCTTAAGGTACAATATTGCTTATATATGGTTTACCCGTATTAACCATCACTATATTAAATTAATATATAATTTTTTAATATAATATATTATTAAATCTAAACATATGATTAATATTTATTCAATATTATTACGGAAGTATTACAATTATAAATTTTACTCCGTATTAAATTTTAAATGACTTAGCATATCGAAACTAACATGGTAAGTCAATAACATTATTTTACGTTAGTAAAGTGATTTATATCAAGGAATGTCAGATGAAGAATAAAATCAAAATAATACTCTATTGAAAAAAAGCCACAGTAATTAATCATTTTTTTCCTAAAAAAAATTTAAATGGCAAGAAAAACGTCTTGAAGGGAGAGACAAACTACTCTCTTATTACAAAATATGTACACTTTAAAGACGGAGAAATTGAATCGAAACAAAGTCCAATGCTTTGATATATTAACAACTAAAAAATGCTTTTAATTTTATTTTGGTTTTTATTGTATTCTTAGTATGCTTCCCTCTGTAAGTCTATATCTATTTACATATACACATAATTCGTCCCTCGATCACAAAACTTTATCATCTTGATGAGCAAGGAACTCTATTGCTTCCCGATCAATCTTTCTAAATCTGTATCTTCTCCACAAAAATAGACAAAAACAAATATATATATATCAATATTTTTTCTTATGAACCACTTTGTTGTTTAAAAACCATAAAATACAAAAAAATAAAAACAAAACAAAACAAAACCCAAAAAGAAGAAAAAATAAAAGAAACTAAGATGATGAAAACCTCACCAATGCAAATCACGTATCAACCTCAACTGTGGAAGATCACAGGATGATTAGAAGTCTATTGCTTCCCGATCAATCTTTCTAGATCCGTAGCTTCTCCACAAAAATAGACCCAAAAAAAAAAGAATATATCAACATTTTTTCTTACGAACCACTTTTGTTGTTTAAAAATCAGAAAATACAAAAAAAATAAAAACAAAACAAAACCCAAAAAGAAGAAAAAATAAAAGAAACTAAGATAATGAAAACCTCACCCGTGCAAATCACGTATCAACCTCAACTGTGGAAGATAACAGGATGATTAGCAAAAATCAATGAAATAATTAACCTTAGTTGGGGTTGTGTATGGTCATATAAGGTGTATTTATACACAATGGATGATATCAAAAGGGTTTAGTATTGAAATTATAAAATGGTAAGAGATCTCAAGAAAGGTAAAATCTTTAATATTATTGAAATGCCATATTTGTCAAAATATTTGATATTACAAAAATGCCCCTAAGTTTTGGGGGGAAAACTTGGCTAGGAGGATTTTACTTTTATATATATATAGATGTGTGTGTGTGTGTGTGTGCGCGCGCGCGCGCGCGCATACATATATATAATATGACATATATAAACTCGTAGACTAATTTGATACTTTGAATCTTTGGATGATTGAAGTATTTGAGTATTTCATATTTGAGTATTTTTTAATTATTAATATTGTTTTAATGTTTTTTTTTTTTTGAAAACCATTGTTTTGATGTTATGACTTATGAATAATCATTAATTCATTTATTTAGATGTGTTATTTGATTAAATGTTGAAAGCAACCTCATTAAAATTGTCAAACGGCAAGTCTACCACTTTTTTTTTTTTTTTTTTTTTTTTGCGCCCGCCTAGGCGCCGCCTAGACCGCTTAGGCGCTAGGCGCTGTCCGGGCGCCCGACTAACGCCTAGCGCCTACTGCAACCATGATATATATACACACACAAACTAATTCTTGACATATACACATAGTCATAGATAATGCGTAATAATAACAAATCATTTTCGTATCACAATTTTTATAAATCAAAGATATATGAGTTTCGTCATGCATGTTTTATAATTATCTGCCAAATCAATCAAATTCATCCAAATATATGGAATTTAATGCTTTCCCTCTATTTATTGAGAGACAATCCCGACAAGTATGACAAAAATGATTAATCGGAATAACTCCGTCTTCTTCTTCTTCTCCAATTTGTGCCTAGCTTTTGCACTTCACAATGCCTCAAGCGACAATGAGAGAAAGGTATTACACATATATATTCTTTTTTTTTAGTCCCACTTAATCAAATATCATTCTTTCACTATATACATTTATATAAAATTGGTTATTAACCATTTAGTTTTGATTTTGAGTGTCTGTGTTAGCCATACGTTGTGTATATGGGATCATTGCCGGCGGGAGGATCCAATCAAGGTTTCTTTGTCGGCTATGCACGACAACATTCTGTCCGAGGCAATTGGAGAGTAATATTATATTTCGAATCTACAATATAATTATCCATTTCTATTATTATATACCAATAACAATAATAATAAACAAAATAAGTACTTACCTTAATAATAGTTATTATTCTTATTAAACCTTCTCCATAATTCTGATAATCCTAAACTTTGTCTAATAATTATTTATTATTTAATAATAATAATAATAATAATAATAATAATAATAATAATATAATAATAATAATAATAATAATTGGTCAAATGAGACTAGCAATATAAATCCATTTATTGTGTTCACATTTATTGATAAAGTTTTATATTAAATCATTACTTCCTAATATAATTTTAATTCTATTACATCATTATTATTATATTATAAATATTAAATTAAATATATTATTACACCCTAATATATATATATATATATATATATATATATATGTATGTATATGTATGTACCAATAAATATATAATAAAAGTAATGTAAACCTATTAAAAGGTTTGAAATGATGTAATAAATTATTTGGCAGATTGGAATGTCGCAAAAGTTTCCTTGCAATTAAGAATTTTTATTTGTAATTATGAAATTAATTATCATATATAAAAATAGTGTATGAAATTAATTACCATATATAAAAATAGTCTATTTAAAGGCATGATATTTATTTATATAATAATTATTCTCATATGAACATATGTAATTGTCAATTCCATTATTTACAATATACATAATATATTTTAACAATGTAATCAATTCCATTATTTACAATTCACAATATACATAATATACTTTAACAATGTAAAAAAAAAAAAAAAAATTAACATTTACTACTACAAATTTATAGGTCGTGCATCGCACATCTATCATACATATGGAGAGGTGAATTGAAACCAGAATCATGAATGCTGGACCTCAAATTAAGTATTTTTATTTTGTTAATAAAAAATAAAGAGTTTCCGTATATAAATTGTACAAACAAGGACTTGATTAATGTTGATCGGTGAATTGAAACCAGAATCATGAATGCGGGACATCAAATTAAGTATTTTTATTTTGTTAATAAAAAATAAAGAGTTTTTCCTTATTAAAAATACAATAATTTAGAAAAAAATATAAATTTTACAAACAAGGATTTGATTAATGTTGATTGGTGAATTGAAACCAGAATCATGAATGCTAGACCTCAAATTAAGTATTTTTATATTGTTATTAAAAAATAAAGAGTTTCCTTATTAAAAATACAATAATTTAGAACGAAATATAAATTTTACAAACAAGGACTTGATTAATGTTGATTATATTTTTAAATGAGGTGACATTTTTTCATTTATGGTCGGTGTATAGATAAGGTGAATCAAATATTTATCCATATATAGGATATTAATTAATTCTTCAACATATACACATTGTAAGAGATTAATATGGGTAATAATAACAAATCATTTTCGTATCACATTTTTATAAATCAAAGATATGAGAGACAATCCCTACATATATATTGAGAGACAATCCCGACATATATATATATATATATATATATATATATATATATATATATATATATATATATATATATAATTCCATCACTTTTATAGAGTTAGTATGACAAAAATGCTTAACCGGAATAACTCGGTCTTCTTCTTCTTCATCAATTTGTGCCTAGTTTTTGCACTGCATAATGCCTCAAGCGACAATGAGAGAAAGGTATTACATATATATATATATATATATATATATATATATATATATATATATATATATATATATATATATCTTATACTATATACATTTATATAGAATTGGTTAATTAATGATTTAGCTTTGATTTTTGACTGTCTGTGTTAGCCATACGTTGTGTATATGGGAGCATTGCCGGCAGGAGGATCCAAGGTTTCTTTGCCGGCTGTGCACCACAACATTCTGTCCCAGGCAATTGGAGAGTACGTAATATCATATTCCGAATCTATACTACATGCAATTATCCATTTCTATTATTATTATTATATATAAAGAAATTTAAACTATAATTTTATTAATTCTTCTTTGGTTTTGAATTGTATTCCAGTGAGAGAATAGCAGCACAGTCCAAGATTCATAGCTATGGAAGAAGCTTTAATGCTTTGGCAGCATGGCTGCTGCCCCATGAAGCCAAAACATTATCCGGTACGAGGATATATAGGTCCTCGATCAAAAGCAAACATTTTTATGAGATTACAACAATTTTTTGTTTCATTTTGGTTGATCTGATCATATCAATCATCACCTCTCACTAAATATAATATTGCAGAAAGAAGGGGAGTTGTGTCGGTGTTTCCGAGCATTAAACGAAAGCTTCATACCACACATTTATGAGATTTCTTAGGAATGCCAACAACTGTGAAGAGAAATCTCCAAGTAGAAAGCGATATCATTGTAGGTCTCATCGATTCTGGTAAGAAAACTCCTACATATTAACAAACAAATTAAAATCTTGAAATAGTATAAGCTCGGTTCAAAATTAAAACTCATGATTTCTGACCATCAATCATTGGTCAAAACCTAAGTTTTTGGTTAAAAATGAACTTTTTGATCACTTGATGTTGAAATTGATTGCTTTTATTTTATGTTGGTATGTAGGAATATATGTTGACATACCAAGCTTCAATGATAAGGGAATTGGTCCTCCTCCAACAAAATGGAAGGGTAGATGTCAAATCGGGCTAAATTTTACCGGGTGTAATAAGTATGTGTTTCGTTTTAACTAAAAATTTAAATTAATAGTAAAATTACATATTTAATTTAGGATCTGATGAATTTCTATGTCGTGGCAGTAAAGTTATTGGTGCCCAAGCCTTCAACCTACTTGATAACAGTAACCAGTCAAGTTCTCCGGCGGACTTCGTAGGCCACGGCACGCACACCGCTTCCACCGTTGCCGGCTCATTGCACCAAGGCGCAAGCCTTTACGGGCTGCTCAACGGTACAGCCCGCGGCGGAGTGCCGGCGGCGCGGATAGCTATGTACAAGGCATGCAACAAGGTCGGGTGTGCGGACGTGGACATCCTCGCGGCGTTCGACGCCGCCATTGCCGACGGCGTGGACATATTGTCGGTCTCCATAGGCGGCTCCCCGGCGTCGTACAACGAGGATTCGGTCGCAATCGGCTCCTTCCATGCTATGCAGAAGGGCATATTGACTTCTTGCTCGGCCGGAAACGAGGGAGATCGAGGGACGGTAACAAATGTCGCGCCGTGGATCTTCACGGTGGCTGCCGCTTCCACCGATCGACACTTGGTGACTGAAGTTGAATTGGGTGATGGACGAAAATTCCCTGTAAGTCCCTCAACACATAAACTATTTTGAGCTAGTTGCTAGCCTAGTAACCTAATAGATTGTTGAGTACCACTCATTTACCTCTCCACAATTCTGTCAGAGTTGAGGTAGTGTGGCTTAGGACAAATTTTTTGATATTGTCATAGTTGAAAAAATAATTAAGCCCTCCTTGTGTGCTCGGGATCGCCTAGGCGACGATTAATCAGTACCTAAGCTCTCATGTATTTTTTATTTTTTAAAATTTATTTAACTTTTTGTTATTTTTTTTAAGACTAAACTATTTAATACTTAAATATTAACCTAACAAAACTGAACAATTTAGAGTTATTTTGCTCAAAACAACATGAAATAATCATTTCAGAAAGAAGAGAACAATAGCTAATCTGCTCACTAGACCGAATCGGTGCCTAGTCGGCCCCTAGGAAATCTATAAGGTCAGCACCTAGGCGGGCCTACTACCGCCTAGACCACCGATTATAGTGATACACTAGGCACCGGTTAGTGCCTAGACGGAATTTTTGCAACACTGCTTGTTGTGAATAAAAAATGAAACCAGTCAAGAAAGTGGACATGTGATCAAGTAAGTGAAGCATAATTTTAGTATTAATTAACAATAGTTCTTTTATTTTTTAAGGGAATTTCTCTCAACTTATTTAACAGCAGTTCATTTCCACTCACAAGTGGAACACTAGCAAGCTTACTACATGACGGTTCAGGCCGGTATGAAATTCTAAATCTCAATTTATTTCATACACAATAATATTTTGTTAATATTATATACTCCGTAAATGTTAGTTTTTTCTTTCTGACCAAATTAATGCATGGAGAAACATTATATTGTTACAGAAATTGTTACAAGGGTACACTTGACGAAAGAAAGGTGAAAGAAAAAGTTTTGTATTGCGTAACTCAAAACCAACAAGATTATATTATAGAGGAGATGGATGGAAAAGGAATTATCATTTCTGATCAAGTTCCTCAGCAAAACGCATTTACCTTTAGAATACCAGCTAGTATTGTCAAGTTCCCAGAAATTGGTGATAAAATTGAAGCATATATCAACTCTACTAGGTAAGTTTCATGACACTTTTTTACTTCTTGTAATTCTACTCAGAAATGATATATCAAATAAATTACAGACAACCAACGGCAGTGATTCACCCAACAAAAAGTGTGGACATCAATGGGTCATTCATTGCTTCTTTTTCATCAAGAGGACCCCAATTTATAGCCCCCAATCTCCTTAAAGGTCAGAACTTTAAACACGACAAATTTTGACATAAGCAAAATATTAGCATAGTTTGAGTTCTAAATTTCTTATTTTGTTTTGATTTTTTATGTCATGTACATGTGTGTATGTATAGCCTGATATCTCAGCGCCGGGGTTAAACATATTGGCTGGATTTTCACTTTTGATTTCTATAAGTAGAAACATAGATGATACAAGAACCTCGGTCTACAACGTTTTGTCGGGAACATCCATGGCTAGTCCGCATGTTTCAGCTGCAGCTGCCTATGTTAAGTCTTTCCATTCTGATTGGTCACCTGCCGCAATCAAGTCAGCCTTGATGACTACAGGTAAGAGTGTCAAAGTATGTCAAAACTTACAGACCAGTACTAAACTGCCTTGCTGTAATGTGAGTTAGGGCCTACAATTTTTGACCCGTACGAGTTGACGGGTTATACGAATTAGCTTTGATATCATCCTAAAAGGTCTAGCTAGCTATCATTAACTATTTCAGACTTTTTAAGAATAACATTTTCAGGTTGCCGTTATAACAACATTTTACATTGTATCGATTTCAGCAAAACCGCTAGGGGTAAAGGACGTAGATGTGGAGCTAGCATATGGAGCGGGGATGATTGACCCGACAGCAGCCACGAATCCCGGCCTGGTTTTCGACATTGATGAAGCTGCCTACATAAACTTTCTCTGCAAAATTGGATACAATAGTTCCAACTTACGACAAATCACTAGTAACGCAACCAAAGACTGCTCGAGAATTGTACACACAAATGGAGAAGACGGACTCAACTATCCCACTATTAATTTAAACTTGAATACCGTTTCTAACAATCCCAAGATTGATGGAGTGTTTCATCGTACTGTCACCAACGTTGGGGAAGCGTCGGCGGTTTACAAGGCGACAATTGAAGCACCAAAGGGTCTCTCCATTGAGGTTTCTCCCAGTGTTTTGTCATTCGACAGTAAGAAGGAGAAGAAATCTTTTCAGGTTTCTTTGACAGGAAACTACCCAAATGAAGAGACAATGTACTTGTCTGGGTCTATAATTTGGAGTGACTCTATACACAACGTGAGAATTCCAGTACTTGTATCAAGGCCTGCGGGAATACGGGACAATGATTGTTAGTTTCATTAATTTTATATAGTAATGTTGGATTCTTAATCTAATCACTAAAAAAGTTTATTATACAATTCTTTTTTTTTGAAAGGTTATTATAAACTTCTTAATAAGCTTTGTAAATGAGATAATTAAAGTGGGTCTCTTTCTGTTTAATTAAAGGTTTTGGTTTCAAGTCTTTAATAAGTTAATTGATGAAACCTAGAATTTTACATTGAAATTGTATTCTTATGTGGTTTAGGTATGAGAATCACCACTTCAGGTGAGTGTCGAGTATGTGCGGGGTGTTTGGTAAATGACTGGATTGGGTTAGTAATAGATCTGACTAGTTGATAACATTAGCTAATTGTAGAAAAATGTTTGATAAATTAGTTGTTAACTGATTACATACAAAATGACCTTTTCAAAAAATTGATCGAAAAATCTTATTTGATCAACTTTTTGAATTTTAGCATTTTGAAACAATAAGTTACGAAAAACTAATTAACAATCCAGTCAAACAACTAATAGTGATCAAAGTATATGAATAAATACTACATTGTAATAGAGCTAGTAGCATTCAAAAAAAACTAATAGTGATCAAAGTATAATTCTCGTACTTTAAAAAGCCACTAAATATCAAGCGTTCTATCAAGACGTTGACTTCAAATGGTTTGAAAGGCCACCCAGAACCATTCAGAGATTTCTCTGGGAAGACGAGCTTGGCCTTCTTGGCGAGAGAAATATTGTGAGGGTCGCCTAACGACCCACGGGTGTTCCCCTCTTTCCCAAAAAAAAAAAAAAGCCACTGAATTTAATTATGGTCAAAAACTCAAACCCGTGCGTTTACCTAATTTACCCCGTATCATTTATTAGTGGTTGCTAGTCTCCCTGAGTGGTATGAGGAGAAAGGCTTTTATTTACCCTCCCAAATTTATGTTAGACGTTAAACATGGCTTGTTTAACAGGAGTTCAAAATTATGTATCTTGGGCATATAATCCCAAAACTATAAAGAATGGAGTCACGACTTAAGAGAGCTAGATCAATTTCAACAATGTGTCTATGCTTTCTTTCGACACGATCATTCTGTTCATGAGTATACGCACATGATTGTCTATGAAGAATGCCTATCTAAGCTGATGTTATCACATCTGTGCTTGTTTTTATAGTTATTTTGAATCATCTCAGTATTTAAGTTCTTTAATTTTGCTTATTTAATACATATTTTCTTTGCTATTATCATTTAATTATGGTTCACACTTGTTTTAAATGTTTTACGGTGTTTGTTAGTGTTTTTGAACCATTTTAGGTCAAAGATATGAGCAAGGGGAGTTCAAGGATGAGTTCGGAGCAATTTTAGATAAGTTCGGGACCCAGAGGATTCGACGCGTCGAGCCAAAGGCTCGACACGTCAAAAATTTCCAGTACACATTCCGGTCGAGATAACAGGTCTCGACGCGTCGAGCGACGTTAATTTCCGAAATTGCAGCAGCGTTCCAGATTCAAAATTCCAAATTCACACTTCAATTCCAAATCCCAATCAACTTCAATTCCAAAGTCCAAATTCCAACTTCAATTTTATTACGACAATTTCTTTATTTTAGGAATTATAATTTGAGTCCAATTTTGTACAAGATTCCTATTTCATTCAACTTTGTACCCACTATAAAATCCCTCCTTCCTCAACCCTAATGTGAGAGGGGGACCGAGAGAATTCAGAGATTCTTGGAGACAAGAAGGAGAGAAATCAAGAGCCACAAGTTGTCTTGGAAAGCAAGAAGAAGACTAGGGAGATTTGAGAAAATCGTCTGGTTAATTCTTGTACTCTTTTGATGATTTGTAATTCTTTATTTATATTTGCTATGTATAATTTAGTCATGCTTGGCTAAATTCTTTAGAGATTCTTGGGTAAAAGTGTTTATGAACCTATTTGCCTGAGCTCTCAGTTTCTTTAATATATTATTATTTGGGTTTAATACTTGTGTTGCAATCGTGATAATATTGTTTGATGCTTGTAATTAATGGCCATAGTTACTAGCTTCATAGCCATGTTTGTGTCACCAATGGGAGTTGGGGCATAAATTAGAGCACACACGATTGCACCTAATGGTTGGTCCTTGGGAAAGGGGAACTTATTAGGGGAAGTTTATTCTAGATTGTTGCCAATCGGGAGATGGTAGTAATTAGGAATAATTGAATGCTGATCTTTGATCTTATTGGGTGTTTAAGTCATGGGAGTGGAAATTCACTAGGAATAGAGATTACGGGAGTAATTCGATTCCACTTTGCATTCTCACACAAATCTTAATTCCAAACTAAATATTGCAAACGATAATTGGCACTAGGTGATTAAATACTTGAATCCCATGAATCTCAACTTCTCTCTAATTGTTTTCAAAATCCTGAACCTCTGTTTTATTTTATTTATTTTATTCCAATCAATCATCTAAGTAATTGTTAGGATTAGCTCTAATGAATAAGTTAGTAACTAGTGTTTGATACAACCACTTCCCTGTGGGTCGATAACTCGTACTCCGAGAATTATTTGTTTGCAAATATACTACGCATCATAAGCCAAGGTCGTGTGTAACTTTTTATATTCAGCTCCTAGATCAGACTGAATGAATTTAATTTTGCGATTGAACGAACGTTCAACCATAGCCCGAAACTTGTCAAAGATAGCATATAGATCAGACTTTTGTGACATAGGAAAGTACCAAGTGTAACGAGAGTAGTCATCAACAAAGATAACGAAATAACGATATCCATTAGTAGAAATAATGGGAGCAGGTCCCCAAATGTCTGTATAAATTAAATCAAGGACACACGAACTAGAGGACTCAACACGTGGTAAGGGAAACCTTGCAGATTTCCCTAACTGACATGCATTACATAGACTGGAAGAATAACGAATATTACTGCTAGACCCACTAACCAAACAAGACGAAAGAATTTGATTGAGAACTCGTTGATGAGGATGACCAAGACGATCATGCCACACAGATGCTGAGGTTCAAGCCGAAAGAAACGCAGTTGGTGACGAACTCGGAATGGGAAGCTTTTAAAGCCCCCCAGAACTATTACCCCGTAGATGAATTTTCATGGTGTTTATATCCTTTACAAAAAAAAAAAAAAAAAAAAAAAAAAAAAAAAAAAAAAAAAAAAGATGGGTGAAATTCAAATAACACCTTATTATTTGATGCAAATTTTTGAACAGACAACAGAGATGCAGACAAACTATGAACATGAAGGATATTAGACAATTGAAAAGATCTAGAGGGGGAATTAAAGGTAGCATGCATGACCAATACGACTAATAAATAATCCCATACCATCACCGGCACGTAATGTGTCATTACCAATGTAGTCTTCCGATAAGGAGAGTGCAACGATGTCCGGAGTGGCATGATTGGTGGCACCTATATTTGGAAGCCAAGTGTGCGAACCTTGAGGATTCGAAGGAGTTTCTTGATATATGACATTAGCCTGAGGATCCTTGGCACACCAAAGATGGCATGCGGAAACCTAACACATGGCAAAGTTGACACTTGGGTTGTCAGTTGCCGTTGCATACCCCACCGCGCCTGTGCCCGCAGACACCACCACGCGGCTGGCCGGAACCACGACCACCGTTACCGCGGCCCTTCTGGCCGCCCTTTTTCGCCGTGAAAGCAGCCGGCGATCCACCTCCGGGACCACCGCACGTCATAAATTCCTCCGTGCCTAAGAGATCCGCACGTTCTTGGAGAGTAATAGGCTGGTCGCACACGTTGAGAGACGATACGAGACCCCTGAACTCTGGTCGTAACCCCCGAAGAACGTAAAGATTTTGTTCTTCGAGTGTCATTAGTCGGCCGGCGAGAGCGAGCTCCTACACCAAAACCCTAGCCTTGCTGATGTAGTCAGCCGTGGACATTTCTCCTTGATCAAGTGTCTGCAATTGTCCGAGTTAATTGAGCCTCCGGGAGCGGGAAGACGACGCGATTACACCAACCATAGCAGTCTAGACAGCCCAGCTGGTGCAGTGGCCGATGAAGAGAGGCGTGACCTCATCGGAGAAGGACGACATCAACATGGACAATAAGGCTTGGTCCTGCCAGACCCACTCTCGATGCGCCGGATTGAGCTGCGCGGTTTCCGTATCAGATGACATGTAACAATTTTTATTTGTCCCAAGCACTTTATGGAATAATGATTGATCTCTTGTCACGTTTTATGCTTTTATTGATAGAAAATATAGTAATAAAAATTGTTATTCGTTATTTTTTTTTTATCAATCATATCAGAATATGTATCGTAAACAAAAAATGAAAAATAGAGTAGAAATTGAGTTATGTGCAATATTTTAAAATGACGTAACAAGTATGTTTTATTTAATATGTGGCTGTAAAACTTGCATTATTTAGTTATGAAAAATATCATGTGTACTTTGGTTTTTATTCCTAATTTTTATTTCTATACACAAAATTTCGATATAAACATTTGTATTAGGATTTACATAAAAAAAAAAAAGTAATTTATCAGAACATTTTATATCAAGATGTAAAATTAAAAGAATAAGGTTTGAGAATAAATATAGTAGAACTTTACTCTTATCTTTTATGGTCAAATCACTATTATATAAGTTGTCTGTCGATTGGTCTGTGTAATTTTGTAAGTGGAACTAAAGATGAATATATGATAAAGATATTGATAGGATAATATTTCGTGACATGACGAGTGTTGATCCACTTTCCGAATGGTGTGAATAAGCAGAATGTTCTAGTAGCTTTCTGTATGGTTTTCATGAACTCCTCGTATTTTCACTTGAACCCCTAAGACGGCTAGACTTCCGTTTAGTCTATATTGGCCCCTTATGTTGTATGAATTCAACTTGTGTTTAATTGTGACTTTTGTATCCTACTATGCGATTTGATACTCATTATCATGTTTATTTGTCAACTTTTATTATTTTATTTACCATTGAATTTAAATACTTAAGTAATTATAAAACAGAATTGTACTCTGGTGTGAATGGAGCGTTCAGGTGCGAATATGCGAATGTCTGATATCCGTCCACGTGTTCAGATCTAATGGATGAGAAACACTGATTTTTTAAAAAATGCTGTCGCATTTTCGTAAATAATTGAACATCGACGTACAAGTAAAATGTATTACAAGTGCATGTAAAATGTATTATAGGTGCAAGTAAAATTTGCACTGAGCATCAATACTAAGTGCACTTATAGTTATAAGTAGTTGCACCTAGGTGCATGAATGTTTACGGGTGGTTTTCACGGGTACTACTACCCGCTGAACTCGAATTCAAATCAATGAATGTTAACAAGGCAAAATTATATGCACTTGCAGGCGAAAGTAGGTGCACTTGTAGGTGAAAATAGGTGCACCCGATCAATGAATGCAGACAAAAACTACATGCACTTGTAGGCAAAAGTAGGTGCACTTGTAGCCTTTGTAGGTAAAAGTAGTTACACCCGATCAATGAATGCTGACACGTGACCCGCACTGATTGGTTCACATTTCTCTCCTGGACACCTATTCGCACCTGAACGCGACCCTTATAAAATATATTACCATTTTCATCCCTTACTGTCGAATAATGGAATAAAAAATGAGGAAGAAAAAAAAATAAAAATGTCATTATCCATGACTTAAATATGGAACTTGCAGTTCCAATCAAAATAGGCATCCTTTCAATATCTTAATTTGGGTCATTTTCTTAAGTAATCCCAATATATATACAAGAAATCGCATGTGGATACTGTGCCCAGGTGAAAGATGGAGTTGAATGATAGTCGTTGATCTAGCTAAAAAGGACCGTCCATATTGAACACATATATGCAAAAATAATGTAGTGGCAATTTGGTTTTTTTGTATTTAGTTCGATCAAACTTATGGTGTGTGGTTGTCCTTCTTAAGGTACGTGGTTTTCCTTCTTAAAGTGCGTGATTTCTGTGTTTAAGGTGTGTTAGTTCTTCAGTTGAGAACTTAAGGTGCGTCGGTTTAAAGCTTTAGGTGCGTGGCTTTACTTCGATCTTAAGGTTCATGGTTTTTCTTCTTAAGGTGCGTAATTTGTGTGTTTAAGGTGCGTCTGTAGTTGAAACTTAAAGTGCATGATTTCTGTACATGTAGTCAGAGATAATGCGTAATACTAACAAATCATTTTTGTATCACATTTTTATAAATCAAAGATAATGTTTTATAATTATGCCAAATCAATCAAATTCATCCAAATATATGGAATTTAATGCTATTCCTACTATTTATTGAGAGACAATCCGATCCCGACATAAGTATGACAAAAATGATTAACCAGAATAACTCCGTCTTCTTCTTCTTCTTCAATTTGTGCCTAGTTTTTGCACTTCACAATGCCTCAAGCGACAATGAGAGAAAGGTATTACATATATATATATATATATATATATATATATATATATATATATATATATATATATATATATATTATTTTTTTAGTCACACTTAATCAATATCATTCTTTCACTATATACATTTATATAGAATTGGCTAATTAACCATTTAGTTTGGATTTTTGACTGTCTGTGTTAGCCATACGTTGTGTATATGGGAGCATTGCGGGCGGGAGGATCCAAGGTTTCTTTGTCGGCTGTGCACGACAACTTTTTGTCCCAGGCAATTGGAGAGTAATATCCTATTCAGAATCTACAATATAATTATCCATTTCTATTATTATATATACCAATAATAATAATAATAAACAAAATAAGTACTTATCTTAATAATACTTATTATTCTTATTAAACCTTCTCCATAATTATGAGAATTCTTAAACTTTGTCTAATAATTATTTATTATTTAATAATAATATAATAATAATAAATAATAAATAATAAATAATAATAATTATTATTATTATTGGTCAAATGAAACTAGCAATATGAATCTATTTACTGTGTTCACATTTATTGGTAAAGTTTTATATTAAATGATTACTTCTTAATATAATTTTACTTCTATTATATCATTATTATTATTATATTATAAATATTAAATTAAATATATTATTACGCCCGCCCTAATAATATATATATGTACGTTACATATGTTACAACACTAATAAATATATAATAAAAGTAACGTAAACCTATTAAAAGGTTTGAAATGATGTAATAAATTATTTTAAAATTATTTGACAGATTGAAATATCGCAAAAGTCTCCCTGCAATTAAGAATTTTTATTTATAATTATGAAATTAATTACTATATATAAAAATAATCTATTAAAAGGCAGGATATTTATTTATATAATAATTATTTCCATATGAACATATGTAACTGTCAATTTTATTATTTACAATATGCATAATATACTTTAACAATGTAATCAATTCCATTATTTACCATATACATAATATACTTTAACAATGTAAAAAAAAAAAAAAAAAAAAACATTTACTACTACAAATTTATAAACCGCTATCATACTAGTTAAGTATATATATATTGAGAGGTGAATTGAAACCAGAATCATGAATGCTGGACCTCAAATTAAGTATTTTTATTTTCGTAACAAAAAATAAAGAGTTTTCTTATTAAAAATACAATAATTTAGAAAAAAATATAAATTTTACAAACAAGGACTTGATTAATGTTGATTATATTTTTAAATGAGGTGATATTTTTTCATTCACCGGTCAGTGTATAGCATCTATACACGGACGGTACATCAAATATTTATTCATATATAGGATATTAATTAATTCTTCGCCATATACACATTGTAAGAGATTATCTGCCAAATCAATAAAATTCATCCAAATATATGGAATTTAATGCTATTCCCTCTATTTATTGAGAGACGACAATCCCGACATAACAGATTCAGTATGCCAAAAATGTTTAACCGGAATAACTCCGTCTTCTTATTCTTCTCCTTCAATTTGTGCCTAGTTTTTGCACTGCACAATGCCTCAAGCCACAATGAGAGAAAGGTATTACATATATATCATTCTTTCACTATATATACATTTATATAGAATTGGTTAATTAATGATTTAGCTTTGATTTTTGACGTGTTAGCCATACGTTGTGTATATGGGAGCATTGCCGGCGGGAGGATCCAAGGTTTCTTTGTCGGCTGTGCACCACAACATTCTGTCCCAGGCAATTGGAGAGTACGTAATACTCCCTCCGTCCCGAATTGGTTGTCTCATTTACTTTTTGCACGCTTTTTAAGGAATTAAAGTAAATGTTATGTATTTTTCAATTATGCCCTTCACTTTTTCACTTTTGGAAATAAAAGCAAAAGTCATAAGGGTAATTTGGGAAAAAGTAGAATGATGGTGATGTTCAATTTTGGAAAGTAGACAACATTTTGGGACAAACTAAAAAGGAAAGTAAGACAAACAAAATGGGACAGAGGGAGTATCATATTCCCAATCTATACTACAATTATCCATTTCTATTATATATATATATATTAAAACTATAATCTTATTAATTCTTCTTTGGTTTTGAATTGTATTCCAGTGAGAGAATAGCAGTACAGTCCAAGATTCATAGCTATGGAAGAAGCTTTAATGCTTTCGCAGCATGGCTGCTGCCCCATGAAGCCAAAACATTATCCGGTACTACTAGGATATATATATATATATATATATATATATATATATATATATATATATATATATATATATATATGAGATTACAACAAATTTTTTGTTTCATTTTGGTTTATCATATCAATCATCACCTCTCACTAAATATTGCAGAAAGAAGGGGAGTTGTATCAGTGTTTCTGAGCATTAAACGAAAACTTCATACCACACATTCATGGGATTTCTTAGGAATGCCAACAGCTGTGAAAAGAAATTTCCAAATAGAAAGAGATATCATTGTAGGCGTCATCGATACTGGTAAGAAACAAATTAAAATTGTGAAATAGTATAAAGCTCGATTGGAAATTAAAACTCATGATTTTTGACCATCAAACAATGGTCAAAAACTAAGTTTTTGGTTAAAAATGAACTTTCTGAAATTCTGATCACTTGATGTTGAAATTGTTTGCTTTTATTTTATGTTGGTCTGTAGGAATATATGTTGACATACCAAGCTTCAATGATAAGGGAATTGGTCCTCCTCCTACAAAATGGAAGGGTAGATGTCAAACCGGGTTAAATTTTACTGGGTGTAATAAGTATGTGTTTCGTTTTAACTAAAAATTTAAATTAATAGTAAAATTACATATTTAATTTAGGATCTGATGAATTTCTATGTGGTGGCAGTAAAGTTATTGGTGCCCAAGCCTTCAACTTACTCGACAACAATAACCAGTCGAGTTCTCCGGCGGACTTCGAAGGCCACGGCACGCACACTGCTTCCACCGTCGCCGGCTCACTGCACGGAGGCGCAAGCCTTTACGGGCTGCTCAACGGTACAGCCCGCGGCGGAGTACCGGCAGCGCGGATAGCTATGTACAGGGCATGCAACGAGGGCGGGTGTGCGGACGTGGACATCCTCGCGGCGTTCGACGCCGCCATTGCCGACGGCGTGGACATATTGTCGGTCTCCATAGGCGGCTCCCCGGCGTCCTACAACGAGGATCCGATCGCAATCGGCTCCTTCCATGCCATGCAGAAGGGCATATTGACTTCTTGCTCGGCCGGAAACGGGGGAGATCGAGGGGTTGGACCGACGGTAACAAATGTCGCGCCATGGATCTTCACGGTGGCCGCCGCTTCAACTGATCGACACTTGGTGACTGAAGTTGAATTGGGTGATGGACGAAAATTCTCTGTAAGTCCCTCAACACATAAACTATTTTGAGCTAGTTGCTAGCCTAGTAACCTAATAGATTGTTGAGTCGCAGTCATTTACCTCTCCACAATTTTGTGCGATTGAGGTAGTGTGGTTTCAGGACAAAATTTTTTGCTCTTGTCATAGTTGAAAAAATAGTTAAGCCCTCCTAGGATGCTCGGTAGCGCCTAGGCGACGATTAATTAGTGCCTAAGCTCCCATGTATTTTTTAGTTTTTAAAAATTTATTTAACTTTTTGTTATTTTTTTAAGACTAAACTATTTGATATTAAAATATTAAATATTAACCTAAAAAATTAAACAATTTAGAGTTATTTTGCTCAAAACAACATGAAATAATCTATTTAAAAAAGAAGAGAACAATAGCTAATCTCCTCACTAGGCCGAATCGGTGCCTAGAAGGCCTAGTCGGGGCCTAGGAAGTCTAGAAGGTCAGTCCCTATGCGGCCTAGTCGGCCGCCAAGACCAGCGATTATGGTGATACTACGCTAGGCGGCCGCCGATTAGTACCTAGGCGGGATTTTTGCAACACTCCTTATTGTGGATAGAAGATGATCGAAATCAGTCAGGAATGTGATCAAGTGAGTGAAGCATAATTTTAGTATTAACAATAGTTTTTTTATTTTTTAAGGGAATTTCTGTCAACATATTTAACAGCAGTTCATTTCCACTCACAAGTGGAACACTAGCAAGCTTATTACATAACGGTTCAGGCCGGTATGAAATTCTAAATCTCAATTTATTTCATACACGATAATATTTTGTTAATATTATATACTCCGTAAATGTTAGTTTTATTCTTTTTGACCAAATTAATGCATGGGGAAACATTATATTGTTACAGATATTGTGGAGAGGGTACACTTGACGAAAGTAAGGTGAAAGGAAAAATTTTGTATTGCTTAACTCAAAACCGACAAGATTATATTATAGAGAAGATGGGTGGAAAAGGAATTATCATTTCTGATCAAAGTCCTCGGCAATTTGCATTTCCCTTTATAATACCAGCTAGTATTGTCAAATTCCCAGAAATTGGTGATAAAATTGAAGCATATATCAACTCTACTAGGTAAGTTTCATGACATTTTTTTACCGCTTGTAATTCTACTCAGAAATGATATATCAATCAAATAAATTACAGACAACCAACGGCAGTGATTCACCCAACAAAAAGTGTCAAGGTCAATGGGTCATTCATGGCTTCCTTTTCATCAAGAGGACCCCAATTTATAGCCCCCAATCTCCTAAAGGTCAGAACTTTGACATAAGCAAAATAGATTCGTTTTGAGTTCAAAATTTCTTATTTTATTTTGATCTTTTATGTCATGTACGTGTGTGTTGTATAGCCTGATATCACAGCGCCAGGGTTGAACATATTGGCTGGATTTTCACCTTTGATTTCTATAAGTGGTGAGATAGATGATACAAGAACCTCGGTCTACAACATTTTGTCAGGAACATCCATGGCTTGTCCGCATGTTTCAGCTTCAGCTGCCTATGTTACGTCTTTCCATTCTGATTGGTCACCTGCCGCAATCAAGTCAGCCTTGATGACTACAGGTAAGAGTGTCAAAGTAGGTCAAAACTTGCAGACCAGTACTAAACTAAACTGCCTTGCTGTAATGTGAGTTAGGGCTTACAATTTTTTACCCGCACCAGTTGACGGGTTATACGAATTAGCTTTGATATCATCCTGAAAGGTCTAGATAGCTATCATTAACTATTCCTGACTTTTTAAGAATAGCATTTTCAGGTCGACGTTATAACAACATTTTACATTGTATCGATTTCAGCAAAACCGCTAGGGGTGAAGGACGTAGATGTGGAGCTAGCATATGGAGCGGGGATGATTGACCCGATAGCAGCCACAAATCCCGGCCTGGTTTTCGACATTGATGAAGCTGCCTACATAAACTTCCTCTGCAAAATTGGATACAATAGTTCCAACTTACGACAAATCACGGGTAACACAACCAAAGACTGCTCGAGAATTTCTGGAGCAGTTGGAGAAGACGGACTCAACTATCCCACTATCAATTTAAACTTGAATACCGTTTCTAACAATCCCAAGATTGATGGAGTGTTTCATCGTACTGTCACCAACGTTGGGGAAGTGACGTCGGTAGTTTACAAGGCGACAATCGAAGCACCAAAGGGTCTCTCTATTGAGGTTTCTCCCAGTGTTTTGTCATTCGACAGTAAGAACCAGAAGAAATCTTTTCAGGTTTCTTTGACAGGAAACTACCCAGATGAAGAGACAATGCACTTGTCTGGGTCTATAATTTGGAGTGATTCTATACACAACGTGAGAATCCCCGTACTTGTATCAAGGCCTGCAGGGAGTACGGGACAATGATTCTTAGTTTCATTAATTTTATTTTATATAGTAATGTTGGATTCTTAACGTAATAAATAAAGAAGTTTATTATACAATTCTTAATAAGCTTTGTAAATGAGATAATTAAAGTGGGTCTCGTTCAGTTTAATTAGAGGTTTTAATTTAACCCGCACCGGCTTATCTCACTGATTCAGTAAGCAGTATTTGAGAGAAAAAATTCAGGTTCAAACTTTGACAACTCTAAACCTTAGGTGAGAATTATGTCTAAAGTGACAGATGTGTACCAGCATTTGACCTTGTCTATTAAGTCAGACTGAGGTGTAAGAACCTTTATTACCCGATATCATTTATTAGTGGTTGCGAGTTTCATTGTCATCTTTATTACATGCTTTAAATAGGAAAAAATAACGAGAAAAGCTGAAACATAGGAGCTATAACGAACTCATGCTGTTAATTCATCGCACAATCTGCAAGGTGAGTCGGCATTTACGCTGCGCTTTCTTCTGGGTCTTTTATTACCAAGTCTACGCTCTCCTTATGCATGCATGGCTACGGTATTCCGACTTGGCAAGGCTGTAACAAAGTGCTGTTCGTTGAATCGGAGCTATGGCGGAGAAGTCGTTCAAGTATATGATTCTCGGCGGCGGCGTTTCTGCCGTAAGTATCTCTCGCTTCTCGCCGATCGATCGTCGTTAATTAATCTTAGGCTCTTGAGTTTTAGGTTTTTCAATTTGTGAATTTAGTTATGGATTTGGTTGAATTGTGAGGATCAGATTGTGGTTCAATTAGGCTCCGTGTAGATCCGGAAATTATGCGTGCTTAAAGCTGTAATATTCTCCTAGTTTTGGGGATTTGATGATTTGATGACTTGAATTGGTTGTGTCTTTGCAGGGTTATGCTGCTAGGGAATTTGCCAACCAGGGAGTTAAGCCTGGTGAACTAGCAATTATTTCCAGAGAGACAGTATGTACTTTGAAAATTGAAATATTCTACTCTTTATGACATGATCTGTTTTAATGGAACCTCTGTTTCAGGATTGATCTAAATTAAACAAATCTTTGAGTTGTTATTGATAATCCTCAGTTGCACTTCTGTATATTGGTTGAGTGCAGCTATACTTTCTGAGAAATTATTTCACAATGCATTATTATTGAGTGCAGCTATACTTTCTGTTGTTATTTCAGGTGGCTCCATATGAACGAGCTGCTCTTAGCAAAGGATATCTCTTTCCTGAAGGTATGCCCTTTAGTAAATTAGACGAATGGGGGGCAAATATGTAATTGTAGCTCTACTTCTTCATCCTTTAGTGAAGCAGTGATATTTGTTCTGGATTACTGAGCTGCAGGTTATGTTTTTCCTGCCAAGTATTTCTTCAAATTTATTCATTTGATTTGGTGTTCTCCAGGAGCTTCAAGACAAAGACTCCCAAGTTTTCATATATGTGCTGGAGCTGGATGGGAGATATTACTCCCTGAGTGGTATGAGGAGAAAGGTTTTTATTTACCCTCCCAAATTTATGTTAGACATTATAACATGGCTTGTTTAACAGGAGTTCAAAATTATGTATCTTGGGCTTCCACTTTCACCATTTTCTTTTAATTTAGTGATCTTGTCTAATATGTTTTCAGGGATTTCGTTGATCATGGATACAGAAATTGTGGAAGCAGATCTTGATTCAAAGACACTTATTAGTGCTGCTGGAGAAGCATTCAAATATCAAGTGCTGATTATTGCAACTGGTTCCACAGTGATTATCATTGACATTAAGGGGATTTTTCAGTTTTGTTTTTTTGTCCCATATCTATTGCCATCAGTTTTATTTTATTTTTTGATTCTCAGGTTCTGAGGTTGTCGGATTGTGGTTTACAAGGTGCAAATTCCAAAAACATCTTCTACTTGAGAGATATTGATGAAGCAGAACAGATTTCGCAAGCACTAGATGCAAAGAAAACTGCAAAAGCTGTTGTTGTTGGTGGAGGGTACATTGCACTTGAGATCAGTGCTTCGCTCAGAATGAACAACATAGATGTTACTATGATATTCCCAGAACCATGGTGCAGTAAGTAAACAGCCACAATATGTTTTTGGTTAGTTTATGACATTTCTCCTGGGACCTTATTGTCTAACTTATCACATTCAGTGCCTAGGCTTTTCACTCCTGGCATAGCAGCCTTCTATGAAGGATACTATGCGAACAAGGGAATCAAAATCATCAAAGGTACTGTAGCAATTGGGTTTGACGCCCATCCTAATGGTGAGGTATACCTCGCACATTTTAGTTAATATGTGTACTTTCTGTATTAGGAAAATCTTGCTATAAACTTTATAGGGTATTTGTTTGCATTCGTCAGGTAAAGAATGTTTTACTAGCTGATGGTAGGGCACTGCCAGCTGATATTGTAGCTGTAGGTGTTGGTGCAATGCCTGCTACAACATTATTTTATTGGCAGCTTAATGAGGAGGTGGGGGGAATTAAGGTGCATATTGATCCTAGCTCCTTCAAGAATCTGTCTACACTTTATGTTGTGCCCTCCTGCATTATTGAGTTTCTAGATGTGTTTTCTTATATGGAGGGGCTTTGTTGCAGATTGATGGTCTCATGAGGACCAATGTTCCTGATGTATATGCTATTGGTGATGTAGCCTCTTTCTATTCTAAGATATACAATGACGTTAGACGAGTTGAACATGTTGATCATGCTCGTAGATCTGCTGAACAGGCTGTAAAGGTGTGATATTTGTATGCTATTATATGATTAAGGTCTAATAGTATCTTGTAACAGAGTTGAGTTCTTAAGAGGTTCAAGAAATTTGTATTGTTGTTGCAGGCAATTTATGCAAGTGAACAGGGAATGACCATCGAAGAGTATGACTACCTTCCATTCTTCTACTCCAAGACCTTTGATTTGTCATGGCAATTCTATGGCGACAACGTGGGTGACACGGTGTTATTTGGAGATACTGACCCGAAATCTGAAAGTCACAAGTTTGGACAGTACTGGATCGACAATGGTAAAGTTGTGGGTGTGTTCTTGGAGAGCGGGACTGCGGAAGAGTGTGATGCTATTGGATTAGTCGCTAGAGTTCAGCCTGATGCTCTTAGCATGGACGAAATGGCAAAGCAGGGTATCTACTTTGCCCTTTGTGTACAAGGACACAGTGACATTTCATTGAAAGGACTCAAAAAAAGGCACTCCGACTTACCTTATTCACCTTAATTACTTTAGCTCTCAGCTTAGCTAGTCAATCTTTGTTGAGTTGTTTTTTTTGTTTTCTTCCTTTCCTTGAGTTGTATCTTTTCAGTCAGTTGGACTATTTGATAATGAATTCTCTTCTTCCTTCTCTCATTGTGGTCTCAAAACACACTTTTTTTTCTTTTTTAGTTCAATTGGCACTTGTGTAATAAAATGTTAACAATAATGTAAAATTCATACTTACACTTAATGCAATGAGTGGACACTAGATGACGTGTATTGATCCTCTCACGAATTTTAGTAAATTTAAATTAAATAATTATTTAAAATTTTAAAAATACAACCCCTCGCAGGCGAGGGGTTGTTGTTGTTGTTTAATGTTTTAGTTTTTAAATTTAATTATTTAATTTAAATTTAGTAAAATAATATTTATAATTTGAAAACTCTAATTCAAATACCTAATTTTTTTGTGTAATTAAATTAAATTTGACCAGAGGGGTGTAAATAGTTATATTTATCAATAGTTATGCAATGGACTTGATCCACCTTGCAAGGTGGACCCGAATCAAAATACATCATTTATATACTACATGATCACAATTCAAATTGTGAACATTCAATATGTAAATTGTAAACATTCAGTATATAAATTGTGGACATTTAGTATATAAAAATTGTGAACATTCAATATATAAATTATGAATATACTGTATATAAATTGTGTATTCTTGGACCAGGTCCACCTTGCAAGGTGGACCCAGGTTCACATAATATGTTTGATAGAGTTAATCCAATCGTTATTAAGTAATTAATTAATGACTTGGATGTCATTGTTTGACAAATTTTTTTTATTATCAAAAATATAAAAAATATTTATTTGTCAAGGATTGGAAAATGGGCATTTTGTCTGGTCTGTGTTTCATTGGAAGTGGGGTTAGAGAAAGTCCAAGCACAAGAAGATAATGTAATCCTCCGATGTTTGTCCAACTCAAACATTTTTTTTATTTAAAAAATATTGTAATATTAAGTGGAGAATTCCAAAATTCGAAAGTAAATGGCTTAGCTTTCAGAAGTTAAAAATGCCATTGCAGGATAAAAATTTGTTCCATGGGTCTGATCTTACTTGTCCAATTTCAAAAATCAAAATTAATTTGTTATTGATCAAAAAGTTTGCAATCAATACCTTTCAATGCATCTTTTATACAAATACAACACTTTGAGAAATGAAAAACTTATGCATTTAAGGTGTAGGTATTCGGAAATTGATGAAATTGTGTGAAAGATAAACTTATGCATTTGTTCCATGGGTCTGATCTTACTTTACCCATGTTTTTTGAAAATAAACCAACTGTCTAGTACTTGGGTCAAACTCAAAACTAAATGGAATACAAATTTTTACATTGAATTTTCATTTCTGGAAATTACAAAACTAAAAAAGAAATATATTATCTTCTCAATATATATATGCGAAATTCCCTTGTTAGGCTACACAAAGTGCCAGAGAAGCTGAATATTCAGGACCTCTTTATGCTTATGATTTTGTTTACTTATATTAGCACAGCTAAGTGACTAACCTAAATGTGTTTTTAAAAAAAAAAAAAAAAAAAATCCCACTTTCAGGAATACAAGTTTGAAATCTATTTACAAGAAAACAAATTGCAGCTTAATTAGTACAGTAAGTACTGATTTGGTGGCAACAGGTTAAATTTGAATTGTGAAGTGCAGCTTTAATTTCTCCACTGGTAGTAGGTTAGCAGGTTTGTTTAGCGTTATTGTGGATTGGAAGCAGACAGTAGTTCTGGGTTGCAGAGCTCAAGTTTTGTTCTGTTTTTAAAGCTTAACTTTGATTTAGTTATCTCTGATGAGGACTTAGGACAAAGAGACTCAGTTTTAGGATATTTTTCTTTGGGCAAACAAAAATAAAGGTAACAGAAATTCTTGTAATAGAGTGATAAACACTATGTAATTGACAAGTATCCTGGTTTCTAGATTAGAAAATTTGCTTAACTTGCTTATATTGTTAAAATTAATTACGTGCATCGCACGGGTGCAAATACTAATATATATATATATATATTTAGAGCATGTTTATTTGTGCAGCTATATAACAAATTTGTCGTTTTGATTTGCAACTACAAATTATGGGAAAGAACAGCTATTGAATACAAAGTAATAGAATGAAAGCTGAGAAACTAAAGTATAGAAAACTGTAGCTCAAAATGGTACGCCATGTAGTTCAAAATGATTATTACAGTTTGAATACAAAGTAATAGAATGAAAGCTGAGAAATTAAAGTATAGAAAAATGTAGCTCAAAATGGTACGCCGTGTAGTTCAAAATGATTATTACAGACTGAATGCAAAGTAATAGAATGAAAGATGAGAAAACTATAGCTCAAAGTGATGCCGTGTAGCTCAAAATGGTCATTACAGTTTGTATAAACGCAAAAACTAATACAAGGAAAGCTGAAAAAGCTGAGATGAACGACCAAGGCGTACTAAAACAAGTGCGCATGAGGATGGCCCAGTGGCTGCTGTAGTAGGAATCTATCTCTGTAACTTGTCTTGACAAATAGCAATTGTTGATGTCGATTGTTGTGTTCTCTCCCAATATGTTAAACAAGGCAGCTATGTGTCGATCATTCTTGGAAAACCTAGTGATAATTCCATCTCGACTAAGAAAAGTGACATCTTTGGGAAAGTAATCAGGCAACTCAGGAATGCGATATAAGCCGTGAAGTATGTCCGAAGATCACAAACACAATCAATATTCACAAAAGCAAGAATTACAGTAAACGAAGATCACAGACACGATCAATATTCACAAAAACAAGAATTACAGTAAACGAAGATCATAGACACGATCAATATTCACAAAAGCAAGAATTACAGTAAACAAAAATCCAAGTCAACATCAGAGTACCGTGTTGAGCATATAACCATTAATGTGCAATCCAACTATCAGCTTAAGCTTTTAGTTGAGATGGAGCACATGCTTTAATTTGGTATCAGAGTCAGATCAAAGGTCATGGGTTTGAATCTCTACGTCACCTGATAAGCGACTACGGTCCACGTGTTGCTTGAAACCCTCCGCACATGTGAGGGGCGTGTTGAGCATATAACCATTAATGTAAAATCCAACGATCAACTTAAGCTTTTAGTTGAGATGGAGCACATGTTTCAATTTGGTATCAGAGCAAGACGAAAGTTCAATTTGAGATGGAGCACATGCTTCAATTTGGTATCAGAGCAAGACGAAAGTTCAATTTGGTATCAGAGCCAGACCAAAGGTCATGGGTTCGAATTTCTACATGTTGCTTGGAACCCACCGCAAACGTGAGAGGACGTGCTTAAGCTTTTAGTTGAGATGGAGCATATGCTTCAATTAATATAACGCATAGTGGATGCACGACTGTTGCAGGTATACTCGTGCTGCCTCTGATCGATTATGGTGATAACTCGTGTTGCACGTAATTAATTTTAATAGAGTGATAAACACTGTGTAATTGACAAGTATCCTAGTTTCTAGATTAGAAAATTTGCTTAACTTGCTTATATTCTTAAAATTAATTACGTGCATCGCACAGGTGCAAATACTAATATATATATATATATATATATATATATATATATATATATATATATATATTTAGAGCATGTTTATTTGTGCAGCTATATAACAAATTTGTCGTTTTGATTTGCAACTACAAATTATGGGAAAGAACAGCGATTGAATACAAAGTAATAATAAAAGCTGAGAAACTAAAGTATAGAAAACTATAGCTCAAAATGGTACGCCATGTAGTTCAAAATGATTATTACAGTTTGAATACAAAGTAATAGAATGAAAGCTGAGAAATTAAAGTATAGAAAACTGTAGCTCAAAATGGTACGCCATGTAGTTCAAAATGATTATTACAGACTGAATGCAAAGTAATAGAATGAAAGCTGAGAAAATTATAGCTCAAAGTGATGCCGTGTAGCTCAAAATGGCCATTACAGTTTGTATAAACGCAAAAACTAATACAAGGAAAACTGGAAAAGCTGAGATGAACGACCAAGGCGTACTAAAACAAGTGCGCATGAGGATGGCCCAGTGGGTGCTGTAGTAGGAATCTATCTCTGTAACTTGTCTTGACAAATAGCAATTTTTGATGTTGATTGTTGTGTTCTCTCCCAATATGTTAAACAAGGCAGCTATGTGTCGATCATTGTTGGAAAACCTAGTGATAATTTCATCTCGACTAAGAAAAGTGACATCTTTGGGGGAAGTAATCAGGCAACTCAGGAATGCAATATAAGCTGTGAAGTATGTCCGAGTGTGTTGGGTGCACTGTTCCAGTGCAATGCAATTGATGAAGAATGTGGTGGTGTAATCATTAATGGTAATGGGTGGGATATGAAGTGTGGTTTTCTTGAAGTTTATTTTCGAAAGGCTCTTTGCATTCACCGGCTTGATCTTGATTCCAGATTTTCGTAGTAGCTTTACGCATTGAATTGCATTATCCGAATATGGTAGTAGGTTTGTCACTGACAGTTGGTTTACACTAGATGGCAGATAGCTAGTGTAAACCAAATCGAGAAGATGTTTGGGTTCTAGTGCACTTAGTGAAAAATGAATGAGGATTTCTTCATCCCTCCTTGGCAGTACCCAATTAAAGAACTTCAATGCAACTAGTTCTAAGGAATCACTATTCACGGGTTTCATCAATTCATACACGGCTTTAAGACTGAAAAAAAGGTAATTTGGTTTTCGAGCTTAAATAGATCCATAGTGACAGTGGGAATCGACGGGATTTGTTCATCTTCCTGGCTCGCGCATACTTGCAACATACACCTGATTATGATAAGAGGCAGCATAATCTCAACATAATCGATCAGAGGCAGCACAAGTATACCTGCAACAATCACGCATCCACTATGCGTTATATTAATTGAAGCATATGCTCAATCTCAACTAAAAGCTTAAGCACGCCCCCTCACGTGTGCGGTGGGTTCCAAGAAACACGTAGAGATTCGAACCCATAACCTTTGGTCTGGCTCTGATACCAAATTGAACTTTCGTCTTGCTCTGATACCAAATTGAAGCATGTGCTCCATCTCAAATTGAACTTTCGTCTTGCTCTGATACCAAATTGAAGCATGTGCTCCATCTCAGTTGGTGCTCCATCTCAGTTGAAGGTCTGGCTGGCTCTGATACCAAATTGAAGCTAGAGCTATTATAAGCGGGTTATGTGGATCAAGCCAAAGCCTAGAGACAAATTCCATATATGGTGAAATTTCAGGAGGGTAACGAGAAGAACTTTCAGGAAGGTGACAGAAGGAGATAATACATAAATTATCGATTCATAGCTGTAACTAGACACTGAAATTTGTAGAGCTTCGATCACTGGGCACTGTGATGAGAAGAACTTTCAGGAAGGTGACGAAAAGTGATAGTATAGAAACCATGCAAAAAACGAGACGGGAGGAAGGGACCAAGAACTCTAGGGAGGAAAAAGAAACCCTAGAGAGAGCTAGAGAGAAAATAAAATAAAATGATTCACTCCACTCAAAAGTCAATGGATGTAAATCTAACAACAATATTCACATAAACAATATTTACCAAAAATCCAAGGAAACATCAGAGTACCTTCAATAGATTGCATAATGGATACGTGATTGTTGCTTTTATACTCGTACTGTCTCTGATCGATTATAGTGAGCCTTTGAGAAGTTTCTTTGCAGAAATTCTAACCACATTATTCACAAAAACAACATTTACAGTGAACAAAGATTACCGACACAATCAATATTCACAAAAGCAAGAATTACAGTAAACAAAGATCCAAGTCAATATCAGAGTACCTTCAATAGAACGTATAATTGATGCATGATTGTTGCATGTATACTCGTAGCGCATTTGGTCCCCGACCGTTAAAACTGACGAAAAAATATAAAAATATTTAAAATTTGAGGGGTAAAGTAGAAAATTCACATTTTATTATCCTTCTTATATCAAAACCACTTCGGCTGGCTCTGATACCAAATTGAAGCAGCATGTGCTCCATCTCAACTAGAAGCCTAAGTTGATAATTGGATTACACGCCCCCTCACGTGTGCGGTGGGTTCCAAGCAACAAGTGACGTAGAGATTCGAACCCATGACATTTGGTCTGGCTCTGATACCAAATTAAAACATGTGCTCCATCTCAACTAAAAGCCTAAGCTGATAGTTGGATTGCACATTAATGGCTACATGCTCAAGAGCTTTTATGAGAAATTCACCAACGGAATAAATTAGAGATTTTTAGTATGTAAAATTTTTTCATATGCAGTAGTTTTTAGAATTTTCATAATTGAGTGTTAGGTTTCTCATTCATATTACTCTAATTTTAAGAACACGGATGAGGTGATGAATATATATCAAATATAATTTTCATATATTGTCAGGATATACGATTCTTGGTTAAGCTACTGCAGAGCTTACGAAAGAATTTTACATACTAAAAATCTGAAGTTACTTTCTTAGTGAATTTGTATAAAAATAACTTGAGAAATTTGATATCTTCTTGTATTTCAAAAGTTATGGTTTGATTACCATTATGTTTAGTAAGGGAAATCGGAAACTTTTAGGATGGTGTGTTTTACATGCTTGAATTGAAGACAACGATCAAGTGTTATCTTGTTTGTACTGACTCACAGGTTCCTTATACGAGACTCAGGTTACTAACAAGTCATACGAATATTATTGAATTGCTTTTGGAATTGAAGAACCTTGAAATAGAATGCTAGGAAGTTGAAAATAATGTTGCAAAAGTGGTTTCAATATAAGAAAGTGAATAAAATGTGAATTTTCTACTTTACCCCTAAAATTTTAAATGTTTTTAAATTTTTCCGTTATTTTTAACAGTCGGGGACTAAATGCGCCACTTCGCTTATAACTGAAGGACTAAAAATGGAGACGGTCATAACTCAGGGATTGAGTCGCCACTACCATTATAGCTCAGGGACCAAACTCGCCATTTTCCCTTTTATTTATACATTGTAATTTGGTGCTATGAATTCATATAAGGAAATTCTAATGTCCTTTCTTTTGACAGCCTGGGTGGATGGCACCAGAGGTTCAAAGTGATGAACCATCTAATGAAAAATCAGATGTATACAGTTTTGGTGTGATACTGTGGGAGCTGGCAACGCTGCAGCAACCATGGAGTAATTTGAATCCTGCCCAGGTTTTTATTTTATAATTTTATCATAATTGTTAGTTGATGGAAGGTGTTTCAATATTGGGATTTTTCAATATACACAATCCTCTAATATAAAATAGCAATAAGAAGTAGTAAATGCTTAATTGCCAGAACTTCCCGCCCTACAGGAAACGGTGCCGTTGGCATATGAAATGTTATTAGTCGATTTTAAAGATTATTGGGTTTATCAAATATTAATTCCACCGTCCAACTTTAGTTGAATCCCTAAGATCTAAGTTATTTTACGGTAAAATGTGAAAGGAAACAATATATAGGCGATGCATCTCTGCAGTTTAGTCACTCGAAACGATAGCCAAAAGCGGCCATTAAAAGCTTAAGGCTATCGTATCGAGACGCAACTCTACAGTTGTATCTAATACAGTCTATATATACATCGTTAGCTTGGAATACAAACACTAGAACTACAACTACCAGTAGCTTATTGTACTCTTCGGTCTTCTCTCCCATCATGGGTCTATTCATTCTTGGGCATGATTTGTCGACCTTCAAAACAAGAAGCGCAATAAAGGTTAGAGTTGTAGTGATGGAAAGAAAATGGTCATTGGAAATCAAGAGTACAACAGAGGTATATGAATTTAACACATATTGTATTTCAGTATGCAAAAACTAAATTCCTAAAAGCATGGTTTCATTGTAGGGCACTGTTATAGTTAAAGTTGAAAGAAAGTATTGTGGAAAAAAAAAAGATTTGGATGATGTTTTGTAAACTGTGTTTCTGGACAACAGTGTTTCAAATGGTGTTTTGTTTGATGAACAATTTTGCCTAATGGCAATCCAAGGACATTTTGAATACTTTTTGCAGGAACCAAATTTACTTCATGTTTGCAGTTCCATGCCAGGTCTTTGGGGATTAAATAGTCTGGTGCCACTTTGACATTGACTGACAAAGTAGTAGGTTTATACTCACTGTTATGTATTGTTTTCTTTTTCCTTTTGCAGGAAAATGACCAAAATAAGAATCAAAAGTAGCAGTCACACTTGAAAAAGATTCTTATCTTTAAAAATAAAAAAACAAGTAATGTTTACACAGCGAAGGATGACAGAATCAGACTACAGTGCCCAAAAAAGAATTTTTAAACTACCTACATTATTGAAGACCAAATGTAATAGTTTAATTGGTGTGTAAGATTTTTTACAATAGTTCTGTGCGAATGTAATAAAAAAATGTATGGCTTTGAAAAATCTCTATGCTCTATGTATTAGACCATAGAGATATGTATTGAGTAAAAATATCAAAATCATTTTGATAGGTGCAAACAAATTTAGTCAATTTACATTTATAATTTAACAGGATCAATGAAGCTTTAGTCTCATTTTTCAGAATACCAAAATCATTTTGTTTTAACACCTTTGGTCTCATGTTTACTTTTAAGATCCTATACTGTTTTACTGTTTAATATAAAATAATTTCTTCAATTGTAGTCTGGCTGAGATGGACCAGCAAACCCCCATGAGAAGTTTTAACTCTATGTTCTGTCTGAGCTATAGCAATGCCTATGATGACTCCACAAGTCAAACGATGGAGGTTGTGACTATTTCAGTGAGTTATATGACAGGCAAGAGTTATCTGTGAAAAAAAAAACTAACAATTCTTTATCTATACAAATCAGTTTGGAGATTTTTGGGTGGCTGCAAGAATAGCTGGGTTTGACAGTACTCCTAAATGCCTTCCCTGTTCTAAGGGTGAATGATTAAAATCTTGTGTGAACCATGGTCCACACAAATTGTGTGAATTATATTTTATATACCGTAAAATAATGTACATTTAATCGCATATGCTTAAGCCCACACCACGCAGCCCAACATCTACACATTGGCAAATTATTATGTGGACCATGGTCCATACAATGTTATGTGGACCATAACAAAACGTACATTTTTAATATACTAAATGTACATTATTTTTGTACTGAATGTACATTATACAATATAATGTACACTCAGAACAAAAATAATGTACATCCCCTGAATACAATGTATATTATTTTTGTACTGAATGTACATTATTTTTATTACTGTATAATTAACATCCGTGCATCGCACGGGTATAATACTAGTTATATAGGTTGTAGCAGCTGTTGGCATTAAGTGCAAGAGGGTCGAAATACCACCTGATTTGAATCCTCAAGTGGCAAAAATTATTGATGCATGCTGGGCTAAGTAAGTTGATATTCTTTTTATGGAACTTCATTAGTTTTCAATTTCATTTACTTCTCATTAAGATCGATCACTGGACGATTGCAGTGAGCCTTGGAAACGTCATTAATTTTCAAGTCGTTGGAGGAAGACTGCTTTGGTTATGTCAGGTATGTGGCATGAAATCTCGTATCATGTCCATTTCCAATGGTTATTGTTTGGTTAGTCTCCAATGAGAAACATGGTGACTTTTGATGTTTTATTGATTTGCACACTAGACATGCCCTTGTTTATTTCAGATTCTCAATACTACTAGGGTGTTTAATAAATTTGCTAATTGATACTAAGTTAAATGATTAAATTAAAATAGGGCTGAGAATGTAATGCTTTCATTTCTAATTGCAAGTAATAAACACCTCCAGCGGGCTGGTTTGTGAAATTGCAAGGTGGGCCCGAGTCAAAATACATAATTTATATACTGCATGTTCACAATTTACCTACTGAATGTTCGCAATTCAAATTCTGAACATTCACTATGTAAATTGTGAACATTTAGTATATAAAATTGTGAACATTTAATATGTAAATTGTGAACATTCAGTATATAAAAATTGTAAACATTCAGTTTATAAATTATGAATATATTGTATATAAATTGTGTATTTTTGAACCCGAGTCCACCTTGCAAGGTGGACCCAGATTCACAGAATAATTTGCCTATATTTACACCTTACTCCACCTATCAAATTATTGAAATTTTTTACCTTTTTTAGATTCCAAATTATTTACACCCAGGGGTGGTACCAATAGCAACACTGTTAGGGGGCGTTTGATTTAGGTATCTTAGATTACCAGGGTAATCTGAATCTGGTAATATTATATTACTTGAAAGTTCATATATCGGTAATACTTCAAAGTAATGTGATTACTTTCATTTTCTTAGGTAATTACCTTGAATTATTTCAATTTTACTGTTATTAACTAATCCTTATATAATAATAATAATAATAATAATAATAATAATAATAATAATAAATACATGTTTATATAATCAATTATACATGTGTGTATATTTATATATTTAGTTTTTTTTTTAATATTTAAGCATTGATATGCATTCATACATATAAATAAATAAATAAATACACACACACATAATATATGTATATATTATTGAGGACATTATTGTAAATTGATCTATATTAAAATATAACTCTTAACCAAACAAGGTAATATTATATTACACAATCTAAATCAAACATAAGGAAATCTTACATTCTCAAAATCTCACATTACTTTTTGAAGGTAATCCAAGATTCCGTTAACCAAACATTCTAGTGCTCAAATTACCAATAGTTTCATTCCACAAATATTAATATTGACTAAGAAATTTAATTACACAAAAGTTAGGTATTGGAATTAGAATTTTTTTAAATGTATTGAATTTATATATATTATTATTTTAATAAATTTAAATTAAATAATTATTTAAAAATTTAAAAATCAAAACATTAAAAAAAAAAAAAAAAAACCTTGCTACCGAAGGATTGTTGTTGTTGTTGTTAGTTTTTTTTTTTAATATTTTAATATTTAAATTTATTAAAATAATCTTTCTAATTTCAATACTTTTTTTTGAAGCTCTAATTTTAATACCTAATTTTTTGTGCAATTAAAATACATTTTATCAGAGTGGTATAAATAATTATATTTACTGATATTTACACTATCTATAAAATTGTTAAAATTTTTTACCTTATTTAAATTTCAAAAGGGGAATTCTATTTGCACCACCCTAATTGCTATTTGCACCACCTATTTAATAGGTGTGATAACTTTTAGGCGGTGTAAATGAAAAATTACTATTTGCACCACCTTCATTAATTTTAGTCAAACATTATTTTTTTAACAAATATTTATTATAAATGACACTTTTTCCCCTTAGGTATATGCTTTTAATACTTTTTCCCTCTTAGTTATTCATGTATCCACATTTGCCTCCTAGTTATATTAAAAGTGGCATGTTTTCTTCCTTTTATGTTTGATAGACATTTTTACCATTAAAACTAAATATTTCATTTATTTTTTCTTCTCCAACAAATTATTGTTTATATGTACGAATGGTCACGGTTCAGTTCAAACAATTTTTTTAATTTATTATTGTCAGTTTAAAATTTATTTATTGATTATAAATTTTATTTCTTATTTAAAAAAATTAATAATTATTTTTTTGTATTTTAATAATTATTTTTCAATTATTAAATTAAATATTATAAATACAATATCATAATTATTTTGTCATATACTTAATAAAAATGTAATTTTAAACAATTAAATTGTGGTTCATGTTTTCTTATTCTGTACTTCAAATACCATTATTAAAAATATTTTTTTACCTATTCTAACATTACAAACAAATTTTTAATATTTAGTTCGTGCATCGCACGGGACAATACTAATTATATATAATATGATTAAGCCAACTATCATGTAATATGATGACATTTCAATTACCATTTCAAATAAATGGTCATAGGTCCGAACCTTGGGAGTGGAGTTTAGATTCTTAGGGTTAAAAATGTTTAAGAAAATATAGAACAAATCTAACTAATTGTGAAGGCACAACACAACTTTATTTTCTTATACTTACGATTCAGAACCGAAAAAATGAAATAAAATAAAATAAAATAACTATTGAATTTATATTATTTTAAAAATAAGAAATAGAATTTATAATAAATAAATAAATAAATAAATTTTGAATTGGCAATAAAATAAAAAATTGTTTCGAACCATAATCATCCGTACATATTAACAATAATTTGTTGGAGAAGAAAAAATAAATGAAATATTTAGTTTTAAGGGTAAAAATGTTCACCTAACATAAAATGTAGAAAATCTGCCACTTTTAATATAATTAAGGGAGCAAATGTGGATGAACAAATAACAGAGAGAAAAAAAAGTGATATAATCATATAACTCAGAGGGAAAAAATGTACAATTTTCCCTTAACCGGAAACTTTTAATTCGATTGCTATAGTGTTCGGTTCAGTTAGAACCGAACAGTGGTCATCCCTACGTATACGCAATAATTTGTTAGAGAAGAAAAATAAATAAAATATTTACTTTAAGGGTAAAAATGTCAATTTAATATATCGAAGGAGGGGGGGGGGGGGTGGGGAAGGGAATCGTCACTTTTAGAATAGTTGAGGGGCTAATATGCTAACATGAATAATTCAGGGGTAAACAGTACTATAAGTATATAACTTAGGGGAAAAAAATATCATTTTCTCTTAATTAAATTTTGAATTAAAAAATTATTAATTACACCTTATAAATGAGGTTTGACCAAGGTAGTGTAAATAGCAAAATGAATTCCCATTTGGCTATTTACACCACCTATGTAATTATTGAAAATTTTCACCTTTTTACAATTTCAAGATACTTTATACCTACTTTTGACCAAAGGGTGGTGCAAATAGCAACACCCTTTCAAAATTATTTACACTCAGCAACACCCATATTGAAATGCACGGTGTAGATTTTTCTTTCAGCAAGAAGATAAAGGCGTGCTTTCGTGGCAGCTGTACAGTCATCAGGTTGAACGGCAGACGACTCTCCGCGTGTTCAGATCGGTCCGACCAGCCAATCACCGTGCCCCGAGCAACGGTCCTACACTATAAATAACAGTCTAACCTCTACAGTCTACTATTGTCTCAAGTTTGTCCGTACGGATTCCCATTTCTACTATAATCGAGCTAAGGAGCGACCAATATCTGTTCGTTGAATCGGAGCTATGGCGGAGAAATCATTCAAGTATGTGATTCTCGGTGGCGGCGTTGCTGCCGTAAGTATCTCTCCCTTCTCGCCCATCGATCGTCGATCTATTCCTAATATTTCACTTCGTTTTGCTTGATCTTTGACTTCTTTGAAGTTTTGTAATTTGTGAATTTAATTATGGCTTTGGTTGAATTTTGGGGATCAGATTGTTTCTCAATTAGGCTCCATGTAGATCCGAGCATGACTGTGCTTAAAGCTATTTATCTACTATATTCTTCGTTTTGTTGATTTTTCCGCTGCGGTTTTGCATTAGTGAATTGCATATGACTCTTCTCTGCGCGCTTAACGTGTTGTCATTTAGGTGTTTGTTTCAAATTTGATTTCCAGACTTATGTAGGATTTTTCATACAATTTTCCGGGAGAAATTTCTATGAGAACAATGATTCCAGTTTTCTTCTCTTTCATTTTGCATAGTTTCGAGCAGACGAGGAGCTGAGTTCATAATAGTTTTATTGTTGTAATATCAAATTTTAGCTTTGATACTTAAAAAGAAAATTTCTACTTTTAGTTTACTGTCACTACCTCATCAGTGTATTACCTATGCATATTTTTTTAGATTGGGGATTTGATGATTTGATTTGGTTGACTTTGCAGGGTTATGCTGCTAGGGAATTTTCCAAACAGGGAGTTAAGCCTGGTGAACTAGCACTTATTTCCAAAGAGGCAGTATGTACTTTGGAATATTCTGCTCTTTACCACTTCATTTGCTTTAATAGGACATCTGTTTCTGGATTGATCTAAACTAAAAGCATTAATCTATAGATCCTTAGATGCACTTTCGTAAAGTGATTGAGTGAGCTATACTTCTGAACATGGTGTACTTGTTTCCATCCCCATCCCCCACCTCCCACTCTGGTTAATATCTGTCTACTTATAAGTTATAACACTTAACTTGCTTCGTTATCTTAATTCATTCATCTCCAAAACCATTCTGTTCATTTTTTTTTTAAATTTCTTTTTATACTTGGGTTAAAATTGATGCAGTGCATGTATTTCACAATGCATTATTGTTCTTGTTATTATTTCAGGTGGCTCCATACGAACGCCCAGCTCTTAGCAAAGGGTATCTCTTTCCTGAAGGTATGCCTTTTAGTAAATTAGATGAATGATTAGTCTTGGATCTAAACTTTGCCAAATATGTAATTAACCTTTAACTCAGCAGGGTTTTCCTGCCAAATATTTATTTTATTTTATTCATTTGATTTTATGTTCTCCAGGTGCTGCAAGACTCCCAGGCTTTCATGTATGTGTTGGGAGTGGAGGGGAGAGACTACTCCCTGAGTGGTACACAGAGAAAGGTTTTTATTTACCCTACCAGATTTATGTTCGACATTATAACATGGCATGTTTAGCAGGAAGTAGAACTTATGGATCTTGGGCTTCCACTTTCACCATGTTCTTTTGGGAGGATTTCTAGTGATCTTGTTTATATGTTTTCAGGGATTTCATTGATCCTTGGTACAGAAATTGTGAAAGCAGATCTTGCTTCAAAGACACTTACTAGTGCTGCTGGAGAATCATTTAAATATGAAGTGTTGATTATTGCAACTGGTTCCACAGTGAGTATTGTAGACATTAAGAGGATTTGTCGTCTTCTTTTTTCTTCCATATCCATAACTGTCATTTTTTTTTTCTTCCAATTCTCAGGTTCTAAGGTTGTCGGACTTTGGTGTACAAGGTGCTGACTCCAAAAACATCTTCTACTTGAGAGAAATTGATGAAGCAGATAAGCTTGTTGAAGCAATAAAGGCAAAGAAAAATGGAAAAGCTGTTGTTGTTGGGGGAGGGTACATTGGACTTGAACTCAGTGCTGTGCTCAGGATGAACAACATTGATGTTACTATGGTATTCCCAGAACCATGGTGCAGTAAGTAAACAGCTACGTTTTTTTTGGTTTATGACATTTTTGCGTATTTTCCTTGGATGTTATTGTCTAACTTATGAAATACAGTGCCTAGGCTTTTCACAGCTAGCATAGCAGCTTTCTATGAAGGATACTATGAAAACAAGGGAGTCAAAATCATCAAAGGTACTGTAGCAGTTGGGTTTGACACCCATCCTAATGGGGAGGTATGTCTCACTTGCATTTTAGTTATTATGAGTACTTTCAATATTCGGAAAATCTTCCTATAAACTTTATACGGTGTTTGTTTGGATATGTCAGGTAAAGGAAGTTAAACTGAAGGATGGTAGGTCATTGGAAGCTGACATTGTAGTTGTAGGTGTTGGTGCAAAGCCTCTTACAATATTATTTAAAGGGCAAGTTGAGGAGGAGAAAGGGGGAATTAAGGTACTTTTTGATCCTTCTTCAAGAATCTATCTAAAAATATTAAACTACACCAGAAATTATACAATTACAAGGGTAATGTTGGTGCCAACTAAATTTCTAAATCCCACTTAGGAACATTGTACTTCTCAACTCTTTTTCCTGTATGTTAATTATTCTGAATCTTTTAATCGTGGTCTGCAGAAGTGTATAACTTTGTTATACAATTTGAACTATGTTAGATAAAGCTCTCTTTTTTGGGATTTTTTTTTGGTTTTATTGTTGTTTTTCGCAAAAGATTTTTTTTTTTTTTTTTTTTTTTTTTTTTTTTTTTTTTTTTTTTTTTTGTAGCTTTAAAAATTTATGCCGGATAATATGGTTACAACCATTGATCCCATCCAACTTGAAATATACTTCATCGGGGAAAAAATTGCAAAGACTAGAACAAAACTGGGGAAGAAAAGTCTATTATAATATTTGTACAATAGAATCAATCTGACATCTGCAAGGTCCAACTTTCTAAATTCAGCTAATATTATTGAATGGTTATTTATTTATTCATTGTTTCATATAATGTTAACACTTCATGTTGTGTCTTGCCTTGAATTTCCGGATGTGTTTTCTTATATGGAGAAGTTCTGTTGCAGACTGATGCTTTCTTTAAGACCAGTGTTCCTGATGTATATGCTGTTGGTGATGTAGTCACTTTCCCTTTGAAGCTATACAATGAGCAGAGACGAGTTGAACATGTTGATCATGCTCGCAAATCTGCTGAACAGGCTGTAAAGGTGTGTTATTTTTATGCTGTGATCTTATATGATTGGCTGCCTGCTCAATTTATTGGTCTATTCTCTGCAAATATTATCAGTCTTGAGTTCTCAAAAGTCTTATTCTATATCATCTCTTCAGTTATAGAACTGGGTTAAAGTTTATCACCTGATTCTTAAGTGAGATTAAAGGCCTATTGTATTTCTATTGCAGGCCATTTTTGCAAGTGAAAAGGGGGCATCCATTGATGAGTATGACTACCTTCCATACTTCTATTCTCGTGCCTTTGATTTGTCTTGGCAGTTCTATGGCGACAACGTAGGTGAAACAGTGTTATTTGGAGATAATGACCCAAAATCTCCAAATCACAAGTTTGGACAATATTGGATCCAAAATGGCAAGGTTGTGGGTGCATTCTTGGAGAGCGGGACTCCGGAAGAGAACAAGGCTATTGCAAAAGTTGCTAGAGCTCAGCCTCCTGCTCTTAGCTTGGACGAAATGGCAAACCAGGGTCTCTCCTTTGCCTCTAAGATCTGAAGCCTTCTGTTTCTTTCTACCCATTGTTTTCCCTATGTTGCTTGAATTGATAGAATACATATAAATAAACTTGATGGTTTCAAGATATCTGCTTTTTAATGATTGGATTTCAATGAATTACAAGTTATTGAAGTTCAGGTGCCAAAACTACACAAATTTATGCTGTCTGTTTGCCATGGATTTACATTGTCATATAATCCACTTGAAAGTTCTATAAGACTAATTTGTCTGAGTTGTGCTCATTTTTTATTATTATTATTATTATTTTTTTGTAATATATTGAATGTTACTGGCTTTATTACATTGTAGTATCTGTCCACTGAGGCTCGAACTCATAACCTTCCAAATGGAAGTCCAACCCGGGTACCATTAGACCACATAGTCTTGGTAATATGAACAAAAATCTAAAAGCACTCATAAACTTAAATATCATATTTATAGGAGGGGTAGCAGCATTGATGAAGCAGTAGAACCTGTCAGAACTAACAGATGAAAAGCATAGAAAACTAAGCAAAAGATAAGCAGAAAGAAAGGTGTTTCAGTTCAACACAACTGTAGTGTCAAATATGTGAGACAGTGTCGGTTTAGATACCCTGTAGTGTCAGTTTAAATACATTATAATTTCAATTGATAATTAACACACCAAAAAATGTGCCTCCTTTACCAGTAATGGCGCCGACCATCCATCATCTAGTTCCTCATTTTTTTGAGAAACAATAAGTCTACTGTGATATCTTGAGAAGTGGGAACTTTTCAGTTATGATAAGAATTTCGGTTTTTTTTTTTTTTTTTTTTTTTTTTTTTTTTTTTACTGACATCTCACGCTGCTTCCTTTTATTGTAGTAAACTGATGAGAAGTTCAATGTCTTAAGTCTTAACCTTTTGTATATATGTATTGCAGTCAACATTTTGCAGAGACAACAGAACTGATGTTATTAAGTGATCTTGCAAATGAGTTCACAGCCAAAAAGTAAACAAACAGCTAGCACTCAACACTAAAGCAAATTAAAGTAATATCATCATCAGTCAGTTTGCAATGACCTGTAGACAAGGATGGGGCTCCTAACACTATGTGTGTTGTCCTTCCACACCAGGGATCCCGACATGTACCACGATATCGCCTTCTGGAATTTCCCGCTCACGACAACCTTGTACGACCTCTTCTGGTTTGTCTGGGGGAACGACAGGATGTTAGGAACCACGCTGACAGTTAGCCCCGTGGGGGCCTTGATCTTGGCCTTGAACACGGTTGAGCCCGTCCCTACATACGTTACAGTGCGATAAAACGCAGCTGAGAAGGTGGTGGCGTTCGGGTTTGTGAGCTGGAGATGCATTGATGGATAGTTCAGCCCATCTGCTCCCTGGGCTGCTGGAATGTTTTTGCACTTGTTATCTTTACTCCCTGTGAGTGACCCTAAACTTGCATTATTAAATTCCTTGCAGAGGTAACTCATGTACTCGCTTTTATTGATGTCGAAAATCAGGCCTGGAGCTACTGCCTTTGTTGGCCTGATTAGGCCTGCCCCGGAGGCTAGATATGCACCTATCGGCTTAATCTTCATCGCCTTCGCGGTGGTCATCAGAGCCGACTTGATTGCAGCTGGGGACCAGTCAGGGTGGAAGGTCTTGACATAAGCTGCAGCCCCAGCTGCATGAGGGGTGGCCATGGATGTGCCTGATTCTACATTGTACTTTACAACCCGGGTGTCGTCTACCTGTCCCGTCATGGTTGCTAGCGCGGTATATGCAGCAAGAATGCTCAATCCAGGTGCCGCGAGGTCAGGCTGTTCATTTGGGATATATATATGTCAATCCGGGCCAGAAAGAAACAGAGAAATGAAGTAAACGACTGGCCTGGCCTGCAGTCTCACCTTGAGGATGTTGAGGCTGATGGTTTGGGGTCCCCTGGCTGAGAAGCTGGGCACAAATGGTGCAGTGGTCTTCACTGCTCTTGATCTGAATATTTCAGCAGTGGGAGCCCTTCAAATCATACATAATAGTTAGAAGACAAGAAAAAATCATGGCAAACTAACCATCATCATTTCATGCATGAATTTGAGTGACTGGAAAACCCACAGTCACTATTCGAGTGTGTGTGCACAGGTAAATCTATCTTGTCAGCCTTGACGACAAAAGACCATATTGAGTGACTGGAAAATCCACAGTCACTACTTGAGAGTGGGTGTGCACAGGGTAAACCTGTCTTGTCAGCCTTGACGACAAAAGACCATATTGAGTGACCGGAAAATCCACAGTCACTACTCGAGAGTGGGTGTGCACAGGGTAAACCTGTCTTGTCAGCCTTGGTCACAAAAGACCATAGGAAGGTAAATCAGCTTAAGTTGCTTATAACACTCTCTTTGGACATTACGATATCATAGTCATGTCCAGTTAAAAACCCGAAGGAAAAACCTAATTAAAGAAGAGGATACATACTTGGTGGTGTTGATATACTTATCAATCTTTTTACCATCTTCAATATCAACAATGGTTGCAGGTATCATAGTGGGAAGAACAGTGTCTGGAAGTTTGTCTGATGCAATCACTCCCACTCCATGAATCCATTTGATGGTGTAATCTTGAGAGGCACTGCTAAGACAGTATACTATCTTCCCTCTCACCAGTTTCTCACTTATACTCAAATAATCACACGCACTGTAATGCATAAACACCATATCAAATGAACAAGAATATAATTCTGGAAAAAAATGGTTTTTTTTTTTACTGTGTTTGATGAAATCTTGAAGATTTTACCTGTAATTTCCTGGGTATGTTGCGTTCTTGTCTTGTGCGAGAGTTCCACTGATTAATGGATACATTTTCCCCAGCTCAAACGTGTTGATAGAAAACCCAGAAATCAATTCTCCGTTTCCGAGCTTAACATCGGACTCGAACCGCCGGTCAATGCTGGTGGCGGCCACCGTCATGAGCCACGGCGACACGTTTTGGATGGTCCCAAAGTAGGGCCCTTCGTTGCCGGCGGCGGCGGTTGTTACGATCTTTTTCTTCATGGCGTGGTAGCTGCCGATGGCTATTGGGTCCTGGAAGAACGACCGGGGGTGGCCGCCGACGGAGATGGAGATGACGTCGACCCCGTCGGCGATGGCGGCGTCGAACCCGGCCAACACGTCCATGTCTTGGCACCCTTGTCCCCAACATACCTTGTAGCTGGCGATACGCGCCGACGGGACTCCGCCGCGCGCGGTGCCTTCGGCTATGCCGTACAGGCTGGCTCCCTCCACCATCCGTCCGGCGGCGATGGAGGCTATGTGAGAGCCGTGGCCGTCGAAATCCGCCGGACTCTCTTGGTCCTCCGGAGCAAAGCCTTCCACGTTGAAATACTGCGCTCCGATCACCTTCCTGCATGCATGTACATATCTCCCCACGATGATAAACAAACCTCCATTGAAATTAAAACACCAAAAAATCATAATTTTGAAAGAAACAGTAGTTACCGGTTGCATCCGGTGAAGTTAAGCCCTTTTTGGCATTTCCCCTTCCATTTCGCCGGCGGCGGCCCATACCCATCATCCTTGAAACTCGGAGATTCAACCCAAACCCCTATAAATCAAAATGTTTTCATCTGAAACCTTTGAATAGATGTATTAATTTTCTTGGTTTGAACCGATCAACTGTAAATTAATTAAGTTATTAATTTTCTTGATTTAAACCAGTTAGTAAGTTAGGTTAGGCAACTTAAACTGAACTGATTTGATTGCTAGGGTCACAAAACGAAATTCAAAACATGTTTCTTTTGTCATTTAAAAGAAAAGAGTTTTGTAATCAACCTGTATCAAGAAGACCCACAATCAAATCACTTTCAGCTTTCGGATTTCTGTTGGCCTTAGTGGACATTCCTAAGAAATCCCATGATCTTGTCGTCAGGAGCTTCATCTCAGTGTTGCGAAACACTGAAACAACCTTATCCTTTTCTGCAACAACAAAACATGCATTGTTTCTAATTATTTTCCGACGGAATAAAAGAAAACCGTTACCTGTTTTCAGTTTCCTAGGATCATTCACGTACCAGATAACCTGCGTGCTTCGCGGGGCAACAATCTTGCCACGAACCCACTAAAGCTTCTCCTGTAGCTATGGATCCTATACTCTCTAGCCAGTTCTTCACTGCAAATTAAACAATATATATATATATTATCTTTTAAAAAAATCAACTTTTCTTCTGGCAAATATTAAAAATATTGGACAATCCCAACCAGCCAAATTAGTCAGACTGCGTTCTTGATTTGAGTCTGATCAACTATGAATAACTTAAACTGGTTTATCCGTTGTTGTCTTTTACTAACTAGAATCACAAGACAGGTTTTATCTTAATCCAAAAAAAAATAAAAATGTGGACATCTTACTCTCCAAGGGCCTCTGTAAGTATATTATGGTGTTCATCCACGGCAGATATCGTTGGATCATCCGGCAATTCTCCCATGTATACAATGTAAGGCTACACAAACACATCGTACAAAAGTAAGCAATCATGTTTAAATTAAGGCACCAGATCAGATCAGAAGAATCATTAGCGGTTTGAGAAGGATACCTACCTTTCGCTGGGTGTCATGGGGCCAGAGGGTCGCCCTAACTGAGAAGAAGAAGATGAAGAGGGAGAAGATGAAGAGGGTCTTCATGGGTGTTTTTTCTTTGTTATATATGTATATGTGTGTATGTATTTATTTGTGTTTTTTTGGGTGTTTTAAGCATGGGAGATGTGAATGAAGAGAGGAGTGAGGGAGTGAGGGTTTTTATAAAGGTTTGAGAATGAAATTTGTGACACTGAGTGTGTAGTGGCAATCAATGAGGATCTGACAACTAATTAATATAATTACCCTTGTGAAACATTCTTAACCTTAACTATAATCCCACATTAATCTGTTCATTGTTAGAAGTATTAATTAAGTAGACATTTAGGATTTTGCATATTACAAGAAAGTATTCCAACCCCTAAGCTTTGCAGTTGAAAATTATAAGGTTTTTAACCGCATTGAGAATTCACAAATATAATTGAATTGTTGTTATTATTAACCACCTATTGAAATACATGATAGATCAGAAAGATCAACCACCAATAAAAGTGCTGAAGATGTTCATTGTGTGTAAGTTCAATGTGCATGGCTGAACAAGTA